AGTAGGCAACCTCTGCCGATTCTTTGTCACTCTCGAACTCACTAGCTAGGCAGCTAGCTGCTCCCTAAGTGAGGGGCCATTTCCCAATTGCTAACTCCCTGAGTCTCCTGTTAGGGAGCATCTTTAAATTATAACTTCCATTACTACACAGGCACTCTACGATAGGCCTTATCTAACCCCCCACAGACCTGAAATCCAAGTAGTGCGTTTCCTCTTTCCCTAGGACAGTTTCTCTGCTAACCCCGCTCTCCTCACACCCTTCGGCACAGCCTCTGTGGCTCTCCTGTGTCTCCCCACCCTCTGTAAATCCTCGTATGCCATCAGCACAGACCACGGCGTAGTCCTGGTGGGTCCCAGTGTGTGGCCTGTTCACGGGTTGTGTTCATCGGAGGGAGGAGAGTCCCTGTGGCCTCCCAGGGACAGCCATGTCAGACATGCACGGGCTGCCCTGCGTGTGGGGCAGGGCAGTGGGAGCAGGTGGGCACAGCGAGGGGAACATATTTCTGGGCCCAGCTGTGCGTCCCTCACAGAGCCGGGGACATCTGGTTTGCAGACAGCTGCACTGAGACCCACAGAGCAGCCCCACAGCACAGCAGAGGTCTCAGCGACATCCACACCTGGTCTGATGAGTGATCACTGCACAAGCCCAATGCCCAGGGAAGCTCCCACTGACTCTGGCGGAGCTGGGCCGCCCCCTTTTGCCCACCGCCGATACAAAGACAGCCCCATGTCTGCGGAGCGCCGCACTGAGCCTGGCAGGACGATGTTATGGCTAAAAGGAGGGCAAAAAAGCCAGCTGTGGATCGGAAGAGCCCCAGGAAGGGTGGTCTCGCAGGTGCTATACAGAGAAGGCTTTTCGCAACTGCAGGTCTGGACGCTGAGCACCCACACTGTTTGGGGCTATTGGGAACTCAGGTGGTCCCCCAGCCCTGTCTCTGCCAGGAGGCAGAGGTGGATCTTGTGCCCAATGGAAATGACAAGGATGGTGCAATGGGGATCCCAATGCTAGAACAGGCCCCAGCCACATGTTACATATATTATGCAAGTGACAGGTTCATCGCACAATAAATGTAGACTGGCCACACAGGCAAGGTAATTATCATGCCATAAAAAAGGGCATCCAGCTACAAAAAGAACCAACCAGTTACAAAGTTAGTGCTTGAAAATGTGTAACAACTTTATGGCTGGTTTCTGTCCAGCTTTAATTTGAACGTGTGGCAGGACCCTCAGGATTCAAATCCCCAGAGTGGTGACAAACCAGTTGGTGGTGGTGACCGTGGAAAAGCCAGCTCTCCTACCCACCAAGGATGAGGACACAGACGGATTTGGGTTCTGACACCAGTGATCTTTAATGACAAAGAACCCACAGTGACCACCTCCCCCCTCCCCTGCCCCCAAAAAACCAAAAACAAACCCCCAAACAACCCCAGGAATAATGTGGTAGTCAACATCTCACTGGACTGGTAATACTTCAGGATTAAAAGCTCTCTGGTTTTGTTCTCGGCTTTAATGCACAGTAGTAGTTATAACTTAAATGCGGTCGGCGCCTCGGCTGGCCCGTGAAACTTAAGTATATAAAAATATGCCATTAAATTCATATCAACAATCAGACTTGAGAACAGTATGTACAGAGGAGGCAATATATACCACTATTTACAGTGCATCTCGGCGGCGTGGCTCACCGTTCGGGGAAACGAAGCCAACTGGACAGAGGCAAAGGAGGGTGGGGGAGAGTGCACAGGATGGGAAAACACGTCTTCCTGGTACTCTCCTTGTGTAAAGCCTGGTGCCTCTGACCATTGCCCCCAGCTCTGCGGAGCAAAGGACAGGCCTCCCCGGTGCTCTCTCGCGGAGTAGCAGCAGCATGCATCTCGAAGAAGGCCACAAGGATTAGCCGGTGGGGTCACGCGTGTGGGTCTTGCTTGGGGGGTAAGTGGGATGGGCACCGTGGTAGGCGGTATGTGTGCACTGTACAGGGTGGCATCCCAGAGGCACTCCTGGCCAAGGGAAAAGGGAGCGTGGTATTGCTCCTTCTCTACCCGCCTTGTAGAGGGGAGCAGAGGGACTCGATTGTCTACGTGGGGTCTCTCAGGGTCGGCTTTGTTTGCAAGCTGAAACGTAACGGAAACAGTCACTGTTTCCTTTGCCGTGCCCTCAGCTGCAGGCTGATCTACAGACCTACCCACCCCGCTCATCTTGGAGAGCCTCGGGGTCAGACCCCGGCGGGGAGGTGACGACTGAGCACAACAGGGACGTGGGCTCTTGCACAGATCTGAGGAACATCCTGCCTGTGGTGGGGAAAGACCTCCCAACCCTGGTGATAAATAACCCTCACCATCCAGGCCAGCTAAAGATTGCAGCAATGAAGAAAACCAAGCAGAAAGGTGGGAGACGTACAAGCCAACCCACCCATGCTGGACACCAGCACTGAGCCAGTGCATGGAAGTTCACCTTGAAGGAACAGCATAAGTCAACCCAGGCAGGGTCGTTGGAGACTGCTTTCTAAACGTAATCCAAGGTTGTTAAAAGCATATTGCTTTAACATGGATATAACGTATATTCCTTGTATACAGCATGTATATTCATGCGTATTCAGATAACGACCCCCCTAACTCTTTCCCTCTGTGAAGTCAATGGGAGGTCAGCATCCAACCCTCCCCAAATATCTGAACCTAAGGACTTAACTATTAGACTGTTTAAAAATCATCCAAATATTTTACTGAGAGCGCGAACAGTCCAGAAAGCAGCAGGTGAAAGACGTGCATTCAGGACAGCCGACTGGATGATTGCTATGATCCCCTTAGGCCAGAGCGGCTCAACCTTTTCAGCGGGGAGGCAGCCTTGTTAGACTCAAGGCCCCCCCTCAGAAAACGCCAGCTCTTTGCTTTCACTCATTTTTTGGCTGTGGAAAAATGTACTGCAGCCATGCCCCTGTTGCAAAGAGCTCAGGAAGCCCGCAAAAGGGCAGAATGATTTGGACAGTTTGGATTCCTATTTGAAATCTCTTGGTTTATCCTGGGAATCCCGTGTAGGCTTTTGCACACCTAACAGCGCTAATATTGTGCATCGCCCTTAACAGCATCTCTCTGCGCCTCGGCTGGGAATTGCCGCCTGAGGCTCTGAGAGCTCATTTGCAAACAGGCAGCTGAAGGAGGGGGTGGGAGCTGTCTGAAACGTCAACCCGGTCTATGCGGAGATGTCTCCAGCTCCGGGTTAAGCACCGGCGCTCCTCTGTGCCCATCGACCGTACCCTGAACAGCAGCAAGGTGCTGGCTAGGGGGTGCTGTTCATTGTCATGGGGGAAGCACAGCACTGAACCTGGGGTCTGGTCCTGGGAAAGGGGCTGCTTAGTGCACTGGGACTACAGATACCTGGCTGCCTCCAGGCTGGGGGCGGATGCAGAGGCTGTTAACGGAGAGACCCCCATGGACTCCAGCAGGCTCTGGATAGAGCTGGAGCCTCCTGCAAACAGCTGGAGAGCGAGGGACTTTCACAGTGTTTGCTATGAACATCTACCTGGCCATTTACCTCTGCACCTTGTCTAACAGGCCATTAAACACTCTGGGGCTTTGAACCCCCTGCAGCTCACTGCCCACCTGCATCAGAGAAACCCGCTCTCATTCAGGCACTTGTCTGTGGCAAGCTCAGCCAACTCGGGGTACCCCGATGCCTGTCCCACCTCCTTTACGGGATGTTCCAGGGAGTCTGCACAGATCAGGGGCGTGGGGTTTGTCTCTTCCTGAGGACAGAGATGCCTCATCGGTTTGTCTGCAGCATTTGGGAGGCTTCAAAGAGAGGATGGGTAAGTGAGCTCACTGCCTCATTCATTTCCCAGCCCAGATCACCCTACCCACACCCTAGAGCACCCATGCTTCAGCAATGCCAGGCACCCCAGTTATTCTCCTTCCTACCACCCCCACGCTGAGCTTGAGAAGCTGCTTTGTTCCCTCCTACTGCACAGACAGTGCTAAAACACGCGCTACATGCGGTCTAATCCCTGAAGATCACAACTGCCTCCCCACTGAGGAAGCCGGCAAGATGGACACGAGCTCTTGCAACCTCCAGCAATGGGAAGCAAGACGGTGCTTGGGCTGTCACCCCCAATGGTTGTTCCCCGGGGTATGCTGCACTAAGTGGTGGGGACTAGACAGGGCCAAGCGATACTGGATAACACGGCCACTAAGATCCTGCTGCCACAATGCCCTCGCATGCTTGCGAAGTGGAGAAGGAGAATAAGCATCCATGTCCTGGACAGGTTAAATCCTATGGGAGGTCTCGTAAGAGTTCAGCACGAGGCTGGGAGGAAAAGTCACGTGCCTGAGAAGAGCTACAGCCCCATGCTCCATCTGATGTGGACTTTCCCTCTGGGTTTGGATGTGAGCAGGACTCATGACCAGCCCAGGGGCACATGGTGTCCTATATGTGACGGCCATGCACAGTACGCTATTCCTTTAGCCCAGGAAGCCTCTATATCATGGGTGCTGAAGGCGCTATACTATATATTTGGATGTTATACATTTGGATGCTTATCTTGCTGGGGTGATCTGACCCCAGCTGACTTTCTGCCCCTTGGGCAGGGGGCTGGACCTGATGATATCGCGAGGTCCCTTCCAGCCCTAGTGTCTATAACATCTATGAAATCTATACTTGGGATCTGCCTTGCGATCCCACGTGTGCCCGGCAGCCAGGGCTCACAGTGCAGCTCACGCTGCTGATCTGGGACGGGGGGAGGGTATCTTGCTTGCAGGCAACGAGGGCAAAGCACTCACATACCTGCTCACCTCAAAGCACATGACTAAGTCCACGCTCCACTGTACTTCACAGCATCTTAAAAGTGTGTTGAAGTGCTTTGCTGAGCCAGGGCTCTGGTGGCGCCTAGCGAGGCCCCAAGCTGCTTGTGGGGATTGTGCCGGGCCAGTATTTGGCTAGAGGCTAGGCCAGCTGGCTTGATGCTGTCTACACTGCCAGCTAAGGTAGCGGCTGGTTCAGAAATTCAAACCCTCTGCTCTTGCACTTAGCATCCAATCTCTACCACCGGCACACACTGGCCCGTCACGGTGCTGATCCTGGCCTCTGCTCGCTGGTGGCCGTAGCCAAGAGCATGGAAATCGGTGAGCACCTTCCCACCGGACTGGATGGAAGCTAGATTAAGGGCTGGGAATATCGTCCACTCAGACGCTCGGTCAAGTCCCACCTGGACTTGCCCCGCGGTTAAACCCCACTGCTTCTACAGACCCTACAGGAGTCCCTTCAGAAGGTGCAGACAAGGTCCCTTCAATCCTTCCTCGCTCCTACCCCAACACACAAGGAAATCTGACCTGTACACGTGGGAATATTGTCAGGCCTTTCTTAAAAGAAGAACCATCTCACTCAGAGGACGCCTTCTTCCAACATGCAGAAACTTTCACTGGTAGCCTCAGGATTGGACCATTAACCTCAAGTGAGCCAAGGCGAAAACACAGAGCAGCCAACAATCCCTGCCCGCACAAGCTGGCAGCCTCGCTACCCAAGACAGGCTAAGAGGCAAGGGGATGGGGGGGCACAAAGAGAAGTGAAGTGACTCGCTCAGGGGTCAGGGGCAGAGCTGAAAACAGAGCCCAGCTGTCCTGACCCCCACCCTTGTCCTTTAAAGAAGCCCCAAATACTTAACTGAGGAAAATGGGTGCAGGAGATTCAATGGGTTTGTGGGTGAAACTGGAAAAAAAATGGGGAGCTGATGAGGCAGGGATGGGAAGAAGCTGTCTCAGAGCTGCAAAGAAGGCCCTGTGCTTCAAAAACACACTCCTCGCTATTGCCCTGGTTGCTGTGAACCAGAATCTGTTAATAAGGGCTTTGATAAGCATTTAATGAAGTGACCTGAGTAGAAGAAACCTTTTCAAGTGCCAGACAGAGCTAGAACCGCAGCTGGAAGAAGCAGGCATCACAACCTTGGCCTCCACGCAGTCAGCCCTATTCACGCGAGCTAAGGGAGTGGGCTACGGACGTCAGACAGATTGCTTGGATGCTCAGCTAGCTCCTGGTACACCTCCCTGGGAGACCCCACATAAGGTTTTCTTTGGAAAGTCTTTGGAAAGATGGGCTGAGATTAAAACAACAATGAATTGAAGCCTAAATCTGTATTGTCAGTCCTGACATCTAAATCAGCATCCTGATTCTCAGAAGCAAGGGCCAGGCAGCAGGCTGGGAGGCTGTCCGTGGGCACATCTGACCGCACAACATCTTTAAAAAACTTCAGGACATGTATTTAGATGCTCAAAGCATCTCATTTGTTTATTGTGCAGGGGAAGTGCCCCGGGGTGCTGGCCATGGCCATGGACTCCCTGTGCGAACCCAGAACGCGTAGCTCCGGCCCCTCACAGCTCAGAGTCACACTTTAGGCAGCCTAGGTGCCCTTTGCCGAAAGGGCCACGACTCAGGGTAGCTCAGTGGCTCTGTGGGAGGTGATTTGCAAAAGTCCTTTCTTATGTTCTGCCTCCTGGCTTTGCAGCCTTCACATCGCTGCCAAACTTCCTGGCAGAACCAGGTGTTGCAACACACTTGAATCACATGGGGTGCTTTTGAAAGGCCAGCCCTGCCCAGGGGCCTCCAACAGGGCCCCAAGCAGCCACTGCCCACTTCTGCACCTGTCAGCCCTGTCCGGTATTTTGGGGTGAGCCTGCCTGCAAGTACCTGGGTGTGCAGCGAGGACATGCTGCCAGCCAGCTCGCTAGTTCTCACCGACTGGGCACAACCCCGTGCTCCTCTCTGCCCCTTGTCTGACATGCAGGGGCAGGGACCTGGAAGCTGAATGCATAAATTAAGTGCTGGAAGAGAAACAAAACAAAACAGATAAAGGCAACTCATTAAGAAAGCCACTATAAATACTGTACAAAGCACGGGTTTGCTGTTCTCAGCCCCTGCGCCCTCTGGCCCGGACTGCGACCTCCCTCTGCCACATGCCATGTCCTGCCTGGATGGCCCTGCCTCACTCCTCACACCCACCGAGAGGGGAGCTGGGATATCCCCCAGGCGGCACCGTCAGGGTCTCAGCTAAGTATTGCACATGGTTCATTTCCCCTGGACACTGCTCCCATTGCTACACGGGGCCTGGCACCCCTCACACAATGCCACCTCATGGTGGGCGAATGGGACCCAGCTGCCATGGCTTTCCCTTTGTAGCTAGGCTCCTCCAGAGCTGGGGCACTGATGCCAGGCTGGGCTGTTGGCAGCCTCTTCCCCGCTCCCTTGGCTTCACATGCGGGTCGGATCTGACTGCCTCACGCCAGCTCTGGGCAAAACAGCTCTGCCCCCCATTGAAAATAAATAAGGATATTTTAATATATCTCTATATATGTATGTATATATGTATATTTCAGAGACGGGGCTCTCTGGGTGCTGGCGGCGAGTGAGCAGGGTCAGCTGGAGCGGCTGGCAGGGCAGTGGTTCAGGCGGATGCAGCTGTGCAGTGAGCTTGGCAGAGGTGCAAGAGGGGCTCTTGGCCAGATGCATGGATAAAGGGGTGGCCTGTTGCCCTCCATGGGGTGTGCCTGGGTCTGAGGCCTGCATTTGTCCTTAGCCAGTGGCCGGGCGCTCACCGTGCTCTTCGTTTATGGCACCGAAGACGGGTTCCCTTCCCCGCTCTCTCCCTAAGACGGCTGCCGCCGCCTCCTCCTCACGGCCCCTTTGGGGCAATGCCACAGAAGCCCGGGCTCTCCGTGCAGCTCTCCCCGCGGGCACGGATACACATACACGCGGGCGGGGTTAAGCGCAGGCTGTGCAATGTGGTCTGTACACGGTACCTCACGATGGGGCTCCTCTCTCCCTGCTGCCGCCGGCCCTCTCCGCCGGGCGGCACGTGGCCCACATGCGGGCCAGAGCCTCCAAGGCAGGTGACGAAACATGTGTGGGGAGAGGGGTCGAGGGGCCGATGGGACCGGGAGGCCACGACAGTGTCCGTGATCGGCAGGGCTGGAGCCGGCGCTCCCCCCTCCACAGCAGGGGCTGATCAGACCCTCCACAGGAGCAGGTGGTTCGTGCTGTCGTCTCGCCCCACGGTCTCGCTGCTGTTGGTGAGCCGGAAGTCCTCGTAGCCGTCCCCGCCGCTGATCACGAGCATCTTGGATTTCGACAGGGCCATGTTAGAGGCCCGGTGCCTTGTCGAGTCCCTCTTTTCCACCTCGCTTGGCTTCTCAGTACCTGGGAGACAGCAGGATCCAGGTGAGACTCCAGGGAGATCAAGCCAGGGATCCCGCCTGAGGTGACGTGGATAGAGGGGCCCTCAGACCTCCCTCCTTCCCTTCACATCAGCCATAATAACCCCACCCGCTGCCTCGGTACTGCCTGGTTCTCCTCCAAAGCTGGGAGCCTGAAGCAGCTAGTGATTGAGGCAGCCCATCCTGAAACACAAAGATGTGCCCATTTGTAAACCCAGACTCTCCAGAGCACCCCGTGCTGGGCGGACATGCACTGGAAAGCCCTGGCCGTGGGGGGTGGTGCTCACACGTGGGCACTGGTTTCTGCCTCTGGTGAGTAGCACCTTCCCCCTGCAGGGCAGCCGCCCGACGGGGCGACTCCGGGGGTAGGACCCAAGCGAGGGCTGCTAGCTGGAGCCTGCCCTTACACTGACTGCCGGTCTCCTGGCTCTGGGCAAAGCCAGACCCACCTGGATCCCTTGGCAAAGGGAAGAGGATGTCAAAGCCGTCCGGCAGCTCGATGGAGGTGAGGAAGCGGACGTGGCCGGTGTGGCCCTGGGACAAGCCCACCAGTGTCGGCGGCGTCTTCCAGATGGAGGTGTTGGCCGTGATGGACAGTGTCAGCACCACCCCGGCGCTCGTGCCAATCCACAGCAAGTCCTTGCAGGCCAGGAGCGCTGTGATCCGCAAGCAGGCAGCCTTGTGCTGCCGGATGATGGCATCTGAGCCTGCCGGAGGGACCAGAGAGGGGGGTGGGTTACCGCACGGACGCAGGGCACTTGCTGGCACTGCAGGTGGGGATGCAGCTGCCATATGCCTGGGCATGCCTGTGTCAGCTTTAACTGGCTCATGCCCAATGGTGGTGAAGGTGTGGTGGGACAAGCCTGCCTAAGACCCTGGGTATAGATGGGGGTATGGGCTTGTTCTCCTGCTGCTTCACTGCAACTGGGACCAGCAAACAACTGTCCCTGCTTATCCTGGACAGTCCCCCCATTTGGGGGCCGTGTCCTCAAGGAAGCAGGCCCCAGCTGGGTGGCCTGCTCCATCTGGCACAATGTGGCTGTCACTGTGTGCATGTGGCCCTGATGTTTTCAGGTTCAGCAAGAAACGCTGCACCGGGTGTCTGGGCTCTGCCTCCTTCCCTCATTGAAGCCATGAGGGGCTCAGGTTTCTCCTGCTTTGTGGGGTGTCTGCGGCCACGTCCTGGATTTTGCTTCCCAGAAATCAGTTGCTTCCCTGGTACCTGAGGGAGGCAGAGGAAAGCCAGGGTGGGATTGCTCATGTGTCTGGGACTCACCTCCAAACTGTGAGCAGCCCCTTGCCCATGTGGGCAGGGAAAGCTGCCACCAGGCTGCCTGGATCTCCAGCACGTCACAGCGCCCCTTTCTCCAAGGCACTGAGAAGGGATTTCCTGTGAGCACCAGCCCCATGGTCCCACAAGTGCAGAGGGTGGGTGTCATGGGGCCGTGCTCAAGCCTAGCTCCAGTGGTGAGGGATTTGGGAGAGAAACCTACCCTGGAAGGGAAGGAGGATGGATCATGTGGCCTCCTGCTCATTTGCCCCTACAGAGAGTACTTCCCTGCCCTGTCTTGCCCTGCTGTGCCTGGACAGCATGCAGCTTGAGGCAGACCTCTTGCTCCACTCAGGGTGGAGACCACGGGCTGCTCTCAGTCAGTAAGCATCTCTGCTGGGCGTGCCTCCAGCCCTGGACGGCTCTCTGCTGGGATGACACATCTGGCCCATTGAAACAGCCTTCTTCCTCTCACCAGCAGGCTCAGATGGGACGTTCTCCAGTGCTCCTCAGAGCAGCTCATTACTGAGATGCCCAGTGACACTGATGCTGCATGCTGGCTGGCTCAGAAGTCATGGGAGACATCAGGATTAACCAGGGAGCCCCAGCACCTACCTCTGCAAATGGTGGCAAACACCCTCCAGTCCAGTAGAACAGATCCCAGGGGTGGGGAAGTGACAGCCCACAGGGGTAAGAGAGACATGACCAACACCTACATAACTCCCCCCGCCCCCCAATAACCTAGTCCATGGAGAACCTGAGACACGGAGTCCAAGAGCAACCTGTGGGCTGAGTATCACACGCTTGGACGTAGGAGCTGTGCAGAGCCACTCGCGGGGGTTTCGGCCACTGGGAGGTGAAGGACTTACCTGCCAGCATCTTGTGGACAGGCGGGGTGATGTCCACTTCGGCCAGTTGCTCGTAGCTGGTGGCGTGGTAAAGCCGCACCTGGGCGCTGCTCTGGAGTGCGATCCAGATCCCAGGGCTGGAGCTCACCATGCAAGTGACGCTGCGGTTGCTGTCCTGCCCGATGTGGAACGCGTGCTGTGGGGCAGAGGGAAAGCAAACAGCCCTGAGTCTCTGGGAGAGCGCCCAGCCTGCCCAGTAGGCTCCTTGGGCCTGTTTAGAGCACTGTGCCAGACAGCTGTGAACCTGGGTGTCCACAAGCTGGTAAGGAAGCGGGCTTTCCTCCATGTGGACCATTCCTTGATGCAGTCTCTCTAAGGAAAGGTCCCTTACTATTATCACTCTCCTCTGGCATCTTACAGCCCTGATCAGATTAGGGCCTGACTGTGCTAGGTGCTGTACATACCCAGAGCAACACACAGTCCCTACTGTCTCTCTGGGGGTCTAAACAGACAAGACACACCAGAGGCAGGAGGGGAAAGAGAAGGTGCAGAGAAGGCAAGTGACTTGACCAAGGTCATGCAGCAAGTCAGTGGCAGAGCTGGGAAAACCAACCTAGACCTCTTGACTCCCCTGCTACTGTCTCACCCACTAGCCCATGCTGCCTTTCAGTGTTAGAGCAGGGGCACAGAGTCCCCTCTGAGTGAGCGCAGCGGGCCAAGAACAGTCGAAGAGGGCCGTTGTGAGGATGCAAGAAGAGGACTGTACTCTGCAAAAGCACAGCCTCTGCCATGCCAAGGGCACCAGTGCTTTTGTGACACTGATACCACAGCACAGCTGGAGAGCAAGGGGCAAGGGGTGGTGTGTGGGAAGCGAGTTTCCAAGTCCAGCCTTCAGGTTGACTGCCCAACCTCCTCCAGTGTGGGGACAGATTTAAGACATGCCGATCACCCTGAATGCCCATAGAAGCCAATGGGAGCGGTTAGAGCTTGGCGTCTCCACCCAGCAGGCTCTAGGGGTGCCTGTACATGTCACAGGATTTAATCCTCATTAAATTAAATAGGTTTATAAGATTTTTAAACTTGTTTATTTTGCAGCGTCACATCAGTGTTTGCACACACTAGGCTTTTGAATAAATTAGCCTGGTCCTTGGCCAGCACTGCAGGAGAGGAGGACAGTCCCATGCTGCCCCCCGGGTCCAGGGCCCCCCACTCCTTGCCCTGCCATGCAGTTGTGGGAGCAGGGAGCCAGCACACACACACAGCAGCAATTGGAAAGTGAAAGCAATTTGAAGGGGTGAACTACAAAAAAGTCACAGTGCCACCTGGTGGACAAAGAGGCTCATTACACATCTCTGAGTGCCTTGGTATTTCCCCGCAATGAATCCATGGACATGATGCTTTGATTCACGGCTACCCAAACTAAACTACATACAAGGATTTTTAGTTTAATGCACCAGAAATACTTTTAAAGGATCTGGAAATCCCGCTAGTGCAAACAGTCACGCCATTGCAGCACAAAGAAGGGCAAAAACCATGGTGTGTACAAATGCCCCAGATGGCTCAGACTGGGCACTCGGGAGCACAGGACACTTGACAATCTGCCTCTGCACGTGACTGTGGCAAGGATGGAACCCAGGTGACCTGAGGCCCAGTCACAGGCTTAGCCCCCAAGACCCCTCTCCCTCTCCCTGTCCTGGCCGGCACTTGGCCACTAGGAGACAGGAAACTGGTTTGCACTGAACAAATGGCTACCCCAGAACTCGTCAGGGGCAACAGACACAAAACATACACCGGGGTAACTTTCTCCTCAGTAAATGTACTCATGACTTCCTCAGAGTAAGTAACCGCTACAGAACAGTGTCTCCGCTGGAGTAACTGCTGTACCGTGTAGGGTTCCCGCAGGGCAAACTGGGAATATGTATCATGCATCTAGGCTCTCAGAGCATTTGCTGCTGCGACAGAGCCAAGGAGAAGCAGAGGTGACACCAATGCAGCAGCTGATCACAAGTCTCTGCTACAACCTGACACTCTGGATGTATGCTAGCCACGATCTAGAGTGGACTGTCATCAATAGGGACCTTTCCATTAGGGGCTGGATTGGCTCCTAAGGGTCCTTAACCCCTTGCTCCCTCCTGCCAAGCTGTTTGCTCTAATCCTCCCGGTCACAGGGAAGGGGTGCAGGTACCTCCTGGAGAAGTGTGCCTGTGTTGAGGATGATGACTCTGTTCTGACAGCCGCACCACAGCTTCCCAGCTACCGACACCATCTTAGTGACAGGGCTCCCGGGCGAGCCCAGGGACAGGGACTTGGAGTTCTGGGGGTCCCAGAAACGCCCTGTAAAGAGACAGAGAAGGGCAGTAAACAGCTAGCATCTTCTGAGTGGTCCCCTGTGCATGGGGGGCAAATAGTGATGGAGGCCAGTGGACCTCATGGGCACCAGACCAAAGGGGTGTTAGCTGGCCTCAAACACCCAAAGGGTCTGGAAGTCACCATACGAGTGCAGAGGACTCCCCCTCTTTAAAGAGCTGGACCAGTTTAGGAACAGGTTTGTGTGATGTGATGCCTGGGATGGCCTGGCTCCGTGCCCTGGTAGTGGCGGGGAGTGAGACACTGCTACCTCCCCCCATCAGAGGCAGGGTTCATGGTCTATTATGAGGTGAATCTCCAGCTCACTGGCTCATGCACCGGGTTAAGTCAGGCCATGCTATGCCATGCATCCAATGGTACAGAAAGATGATCATGGATGCATCTCTCCAGTGGCTTCCCTTTCAGGATGGCAAAAACCATTTACCACCTGCTAAGGAGACCCTAGAGCTCTCTGCCTGGGGAGGTGGGGCCCTGCTCTGGGCCCCGTGGTGCAGCAGGGATTGCTGAGGCTCTGTCGTTCTCACAGCCACCATGCCACCCACCCCTGCGTAGCAGAGAGGTCATGCTGGGCCCCCTCTTCCATTTCCTCACACCAGTCTAGTTTTATGGGTTCCTAATTGACGCCAGAGGAAGTGAGGGGAAAACTGGGTCCCCAGCAGTTAATAGAAAGATCAGTGGATTCTTTAGTGCAAGGTCAACGTTTTCAGAGGCCAGTGACTTCCAATGCCCAGAGTGGGCCCCCGTGCCTGTAGGCACTCAAAATTAGCAGGTGCTTTGGAAAACGTCATCCCAGGGTGTTCAGAGCAAGGGGCTGGGAGCACGGTGCCCCTGTCCAGCTCTGACATGGACCCACTATGTGGGCTTGGCCAGGTGGTCTGTCCCTCTTCCCTCCCTCTCTGTCTAGCCATGCTGCGACTACTAACCCACCTCTGGACTATGCTCACGGGGCTCAGTGACCTGCCAGGGGACACTGGAGCCTTAGGCATGTGTGAGCATCCAGCCCTGCTACCAAGTGACCCACCTGCTTCTCTCTGGTAGACAATAAGCTCTCCGTTTGCCAGCGACACAAAGACCTGGTTATCGAGGTACCTGCCAAGGAAAGAGCTCAGACGATTAGCCTGCAGTGAGCATGATGCAGGAGACACCCCCCAATGCAGAGGATGCTCACCTCCCAGGATAACCTGCTTCCCCCACCAAACTGCCCCACATCAGAGGCCCTCAGTACCTCCCATCTCCTATGCCTAGTTTCTCACATAATGCCCTGTGCAGCTGCAGTGTCCCCTACAGTGTTGCTACTCCAGTATGGCACAGCTCCATCTCTCACCCTCCCAGTGCCAAGCTACTCAGCTTCTCACCCTCTCCATGTCTCTGTACGGCGATGCACCCTCCCTGATGCCACTATGTAGTACGCAGTATATACTTGCATACTCCATAGTTGTGCACTATGAAGTATGCAAACAAAGAGCAAGATGTAATCCCTGTGCAGAAAAGACAGTCTGAATGAACAAGGTGGGCAAAGGAGGGGAGTCTGACTGACAGGGAAGGAACGCCTGGAGAGACCAGGTATGCAGCCCAAAGCCCCAGAGGAACTCAGTGTTAAAGGCAGGATATAAACCCAGGCCTCTGCAGTGCTTAATCCAAAAGCCAGGCATTATGCTGCTTCTTTCAGCAGCAGAACAAGCTCTAAAGGCCTGAGCAGGGTCCTGCACTTACAGGATACACATGACGGAGGCCGAGTGCTGCATCTTCATGCTGTTCTTCCTGTTGCGGATGTTGTCTGAGGACTGGTACACGTGGATGCTGGAAAATGAAGAGGGGCGGGTGAGAGGTGAGACCTTGTCGGCTCAGCTAACATCAGTGACTTCATGGCTGGCACAGGCAGGCAGTGAAACCTGAAGCAGCTTGGGGTGGGGGCACAGTGCTAAATGCCTGAGACCTGTCTGCAGGAGGAGGCAAGCCCAGAAAAAAGCCTTGCTGCCAACCTGCTGGGTGTGGCTCGTGCCTCTCCTGGGGCTTTGGTGCTGGGGAAGTACTGAGAAGGCAATGGCTGGCATATGTGCATTCTCTGCCTATTGCACAGGTGAAAGGGACTGGGGCAGAGGCCTCGGCACGAGACACCCATCCTCTTTATTCATGTGAGGCTGAGCTGCTGTTTCACTGCTGTGGGGATGGTCTGGCATGGCCTGGAGTCCAGCATTCACCTTAGAGGTCTGTGCAAGCAGGAGAGTTTGTGCAAGGCCCAGCACAGCGGGGGGTAGATACCACTGAGCAAACCAGGAACACAAGCCCAGAGAAACACCCGTGCTCAGGACACTGGTGTAGATGCTGACGCTCAAGAGTCTCTTCTGACCTGTGTATGCCAGGGTAGGCCTTGGTTACAAAGCCCGCAAGCATTGAGAAGTTGGACTGCAAGGTCATCGAGTCCAGGCCCCTGCCTGAGACAGGATCATTGCTAATACAAAGCCACCGACCAATCTCTTAGCAAAACCATTCATCGCAACCAGATATCACACTTGAAACTGCCATAGGTAAAGCAGGGGGACCACAATGGCCAACATCCTGCTGCTGAAAAGGTGAAAATATGCTGGGGAGATCCCAAGAGGGCCATGTACCCACTACAGAGGAAAGCAAAGCCCCTCCCAGTCTGTACCAATCTGACCAAATTCCTTTCTGACCCCAAATGTAACAATGGGTCTGACCCTGAGCGAAGGAACAAGACCCTCTGGCCAGGAACCTCCAGCTTTAAATCCCAGCAGGAGCATAGGCACAGCCCAGCCATAATCCCCAGCCTTGGCTGCAGGCAACACCCAATGCTGCTGAGGAAGGCAAACATCCTCCACCCCCAACTTGACAACTGTAGGAGCAGGAGGGGGAAAATATTCCTTCCCGGCCCCACGTAGCAACCAGCAAAACCCTGCCACTACCCCTCAGATCTGTTGCTTTGTGCCTGTGGACTGGGGGAGAGGGTGTGTGCATATGTGTGAATGCAGCAGGCAGGTGCCTAAGGTGTGCCTGCGCACATGCAAGCTGCTGGGTATGACACACATGTGGCACACATGCACACGTGTGCTCAGAGTTCAGCAGGCAGCTCCCACCGCAGCAGCTGAAAACCAGCTCACAATGTGCTGCCAGGGCTTCTCATCAGAGCTCACCCCGCAGAAGCAAACCGTTTGCCTCAGGCTTTATCTGAAGCCGCGGCTTGCCAGCTCTGACCTAGGCTGGGGTGTTTTAGGGTTGAGAACAATAACCACCTTCCAGCTCAGCTCCATCCTTCAGGAAGAGTCAGCAAGCCTTTTAACCTGGCCTGGCAGACCCAGACTGGCCTTGCGCATCTGGCTGGCTGGAAGCAAGGTTCCCCTGTGCCTGGCAAGATCCCCTGGCCTGACACTGGAGAACAAATCCTTCACTAGTGTAGACAGGTGCAGAGCCAGGGGGATCAATGGAGTCCCTCCTGCCTGGGCAGGGGTTACCAGGCCTGGCTTTACCCCAGCTGTGAGCGCACATACTTCAGTTCACCAGCTCGGCTCTGGCTGTCCTGATATACTGCAGACAACCCCTAAGTCTTCTCTTTCCCTCTGCCCTCCACACCCTGCTCCCGTCCTCCTAGTTGCCCCCTCCCCATCACTCCTGCATCTGCGTCCTGGTTCTCATACAGCCTCCGTCTCAGATGCTGCCCAAGGACTGGTCCAGAAAGGCTGGAGTGCAGCTTGGTGGCTTTGGGAGATGCCCCACATCCAGTTCCCCATCTCTGGCCAGTCCCCGCTGACCTACCAGCCATCCTCGGTGCCCAGCCACATGGAGCTCTGATAGGCCTCGGGGTCAGTGCTCAGCAGGTCCTCCAGGCTGCCCCTGGTGAAAGACCCTCGGCTCGACCGGCGCATGGCCCGGCCATCCATGGGGCTCTCGCTGTTCCTGGTCTGACTGAAAGCACTGGAGATGGGGAGGAAGCCAGGGTCTTGCTCCTCTTCGGAGCTGGTCGTCTCGGCTGTCACGTCTTTGGAGCTTGGCATCTCTTCGTCTGTGAAGGGGCGAGAGACACAGCCATGCAGATGACTGAAGGTGACAGGGGCACCCATTCACACGGGCCTTTAACATTTTAGCATCAAATCTGGAACAGGCAAGCTGGAGTGACTCTGGCATGACCCAATGACCTCTGCCTAATCCACTTGACTTCAGTATTATCTCACTTATTTCAAAGCACAGCTGTGGTGCCTTTCGCCATGGGACCCAGAGCAGGAGGGTGCGACCCTTGGCTTACACCTGGGGCCTGTGATGTTTCATGCCATGTCTGTGTGGTCCAGTGTGGCTCTGATGGGAGCCTTTGCTGTGAATGATATGAAAACAGACTGTAGCTTTTAGCATTCACTAGCATGCAACAGTTTTCTAGCACCGTTCATACTGACAGACCAAACCCCCAGGCCTTTACAGAGCAGGGGAGGCATTGTGGTATCCGAGTTCACCTCCTTAGCGGAGTCACTCTGGATTGATGCTGGAGCTGGAATCCAAATCCAGATCCTGCTCACTGGACCTTTAGTCACTAACTTCAGTGGATCCAGGACTTGAACCTGTGTATTTCTCACATCCCGGGAGAAAGGCATTAGAGGAACATTATTTCAGTGGCAAAGCTAAGCACCTGGGAGTTAGGAAAGCCCAGATTTACAGATGCTTTTGCAACTCTTATTCTAGCCCCTTTGTATTTGCTCCTGTGCAGTGAGGCAGCATCCCAGGGGTCTAAAAGTGACCATGATCATGACATACAAAGGGACTGGAGGAGTGTGACACGGGCAGCCTCCATTCTGACGGTCCCGAGCCCTGGAGGGCTTGGCCTGGCTACTTTAAGGTGTCCCTGCTGACCCTGGGCGTTGTTAGGCAGGCTGTCTCCAGGGCAGCTCCCAGCCCCCAGTAGGGCTCAATGGTGTCAGAGTTGCCTACTCACTTCCGAAGCTGGAGGAGATGGTGGAGTGGCTGGCCTGACTCTGGAGGGGGCCCGAGGGGCTGGGCGAGGACTCATCATCTGTGTCGTCGCTGTCGAACGGCATCAGCTCCCGGTTGGCGCTGTCCACAGGCTCTGAGAGCTCCAGGGAGGAGCCGGAGATGGAGATGTGCAGGCACTGCTGGGGCCCCGCATCATCCAGTGCCGAAGGAGCCGGCTCGGTGGAAGGGCTTGCCAGTGACTCAGGACGATCCCTGTCAGCGAAGTGACAAAAGCTGAGGTGAAACTAGGATTCTGGACCCTAATATAAGGCAGGGGTGGCAGGAGGGACATGGGCCTGATGTGGCTGCACTGCTCAGCTCCCAGCGAGCTGGATGTGCAGGTCACCACATGGGACATTGAGACCTGGCTTCCAGCTCCAGCACTGCCCCTGACTTGTCCCGTGGCCTTGGGAGAGACTCTATGCCTCAGTTTCCCCTCCTTTAAATGGGGGTGATACCATCTCCCTGCCCAGGAAGTAAGGCTGGTAGCTGTATGTCACAGCTGTCCTATAGACAAATGGCTACTCTGTCCCTCCTCATCTTCCCAGAAAGGCAGGGAAGGGCTCACAGAGTGTCTAAACTCTCCAAAGAGGCTGGACCTAGTGGCTCTGGTGCTGCGCAGCCCAGTACTGGGGTTAGTTACCCGCCTCCTCCATCTCTAGTGGATTATCTCCTCGTCTCCCTGTTGTACCATGGGGCAGGGCTATGGACCCCATTGAACAGCTGGGGAAACTGAGGGACAAAGATGCCAAGCCATTTACCCAAGGCTACACATGCAGTCAGTGTAAGAGCAGGGGCGACTAGAACCCAGGTCTCAGCTAGTGACCCCCTCTTCTGCTCTCTTGGGCCCTGATCCTTGGGATCTTAAGCTTGTT